AGAGACACGGGAATAGGAGGGAGTATAATTATTATTGTTATTATTACTTTATTATTATTTTTTATTATCATCATTATCGGTCCGATTGCAAAAGATCTCAGAGCTCAGTCTCCGAGTGGGAATTTGATAGGCAAGTTTGAATCCCACTCCCTGTCGATCGCTGAGGACCTCCGAAGCGGGCGCAGCGGGTGACAGACGTTGTTGCCCTTGGCTTCAGCGAGCGGCAGGCGTCCACCTCCCCGGGTTTCCTCACACCGTGTCTAATCTCACTGTCCCGGAGGCCTAACCCTCCCAAGGACCGGTGCTGACCGGCGGGGCTCGGATTGGGCGTGACACGGTGGGCTTGAACGGTGGAGTTGTGGGCTGACACACCAGGCAGTGTTGAGGGCCTTGTTGACCCAAACCCCTACCGGACCAAGTAAGGCTAAAGACTGTGTCTGACGACTCGACTGTCCCGGAGGACACGAACCCTCCCAAGGACCGGTACACACCGGCAGGTTGCTCGGTGTGGCACGGTAGGCCTGAAAGGCTGAGTTGCGGGCTGTGCAACAGGCAAGACCAAGCTGATCACGTCGTCCTGTCTGCGACGTTAAAGAATTCTTGCGAAGTTACGGGGGATCTCCTTAAATGCCTCCTGATCAGCAACCGGTCTCGTAGTGACAGCCTTAGAGTAGGTCTAGGCTAGTGACCATAGCTGACAAGGTTCTATACGAACCCCGTGGTCCTTAGAGAGTTTGTCAGTGTGTTCTGCGGGTAGGTCTACGTGGTGAGGAGTGGGACTGTCCTGTCGTGCACCTATCACCATGGATGACTACCCGATGTATGGGTTGCTCGTGGGGTTCTCCCTTTGGGGGACCCTTTGGCGTTTCATTTTCCCATTGGGATTCTGGAACACGTTTTCGTGTAGGGTAGAGACACGTACGGGGATGGGTATCTCGCCCTACACGGCCGAGCAGGAAGCAAAGGTCGCCGCCATCCTCAAAGAGAGGAGAGAGAAGGAGGCCAAGAAGAAGGCCTTGCTGGAGGCGCAGGCGACGAAGTTGAAAAAGATAGAGGAGGAGATGGCTAGAGAGAAGGAGAGGCTGAAGAAAGAAGAAGAAGCGAAGTTAAAGGAAGTGGAAGAGGAAGAAGAAGAAGAAGAAGTAGAAGAGGAGCCACTGGAGAGAGGAAGAAGAGGAAACAGAGGGGAGTCTAGTGGACCCAACGAAGACTTGATGGAGAAGAAAATTTCAGAGTGGGTCGCAGGGCTGACCCTGGGAGAGGATGAGGAGGCGTTAATGTATGTGCCCAGGGACGAGCAAAAGGCGGCCGTGCGAGAGTGGGAAGTTGAAGGAGTCCCACTCAAGCGGCAAGTGCTAGAAGATGAGAAGAGGATGGAGTGGAAGTTCCGCCTCACTAGGGAGAGGAAGCGAAGAATGGAGGCAGCAACAGAGGCGGCGAAAGAGTTGGAAGAGATTAGGAAGCAGAGGGATCAGATGGCGGTCCAAGTAGATTTACTGGGGAAGGTAGAGATCCTGGCCAAGAACGTGGAACGCCTGGCAGGAGGAACAGCTTTTATTTGGGAGAGGTCAGGACATTGTCGTGCGTTCGATACGGTCGGGACTTAGAGACTTTGCTTGAGAGTTGGCAATGCAGGTGGGCTCGCATGTGACAGCCCGCCTCGAGGGCACTGAACGATACTGTGCTGGTTACATTGAGGGCGCCAAGCTAACTGCCCCAAAGGAAGAAGAGGCACGTCCCCGTAGGGAGACAGTCAAAGTTAAGTTTCCTGATTCCTACAGTGGAAAGAAGGAAGAGAACTTTGACAATTGGGCGGCCAACGTTAAAACGTACGTGCACCTGCAGAAGGTGTCCCCCGATGAGCAGGTCCTAATCGCCATTCATGCGTTAAAGGAAGAAGCCGCCAGTTTTGCACGCTCCTTAGTCCGCGCTGCTAATTACAGCGACGATGTGGTTGCCTACTCGGCCTTCACCCCCCTCGCTGACTTTCTTAAGTTGCTACGCGAACGATTTGCAGATGTCTCGCGCAGTGTCAGGGACTTGATCGGTTGCAGACTATCCTCTCTCGTCAGTGGAGGAGCGCCAAGGCACTCAAGGGAGTAATGGATGAGTTAGTGGTTGTTCCTGACCATGGGGTCACAGAGACCCAACTGGTCAGCCTCTTCTACCAGGCTATGCCCAAGTCGTTGCGTGGGCACTTCTTTGAGAAGAGCCAGCAACCCACCATGACCTACGACGCATTGAGCAAGGAAGTGGTGGCATTTGAAGCAAAGTCTGTGTCAGTCTCCACTTTCTGGCACAAGGACTTGGACAAGGGAAAGAAGTGGAAGGGTCACACTATCTCTGGACTGGTTAAGACTAAGGATCGTTTGATCCTTACCTTAGATGAGGGTAGTGTCGACGAAGTCCCCTACGACCAGATAGAGTGGGGGCTCGACGAAGATGACACTAGCAGTAGTCAGGGGAGGACCTACGCTGCTGCCGCGGCTCGAGGGAGGCCGCAAGGGGGAGGACGAGGCCAGGGCCAAGGGGGCCGGGCCTTCGGGAACCGTTCCCAGGGCGATCAGGGGGTTGGCGGCAGAGGAGGAAACCGCCAAGCGGGAGGAAGGGGTCAAGGTCCCCCGCAAAACCGGTCTGGGAATAGGTCCCCTTATAGGAGGAGTGGATGGCACCCAGGGCTGCCACAAGACAGGCCTTGGGAAGATCTCGGTCTGGACCAGCGCTTATGGCAACAGCGTGTGAACCAGGGGCAGTGCATCTACTGTGGTGACCCTGGCCACATCATTAAATATTGTCCGAAGTATAGAGAGGCTCGTTCGGCTGCACAGGAGGCAAAAGGCAGCCGCCGGTAGGRGTAGCAACTGCCTCTACCATAGGGCCATGTGGAGATGAGTCAGCAAGCCGGCACGAATCTCCCAAACCACATGAGCCCATGGCAGAAGTTGCAGGTCGGTGCCTAGATCGCTGCCCAGAGACTGCGTGTGTTAGAGTCTCTCTAGGCACTTCCCTCACAGGCGTGGCAGAAGAATTGAAGGAGAGAATGCCCGCCTGGGCCAAGATGAAGAAAGAGAACAAAGGGCAGCTCATATTAGTAGATACAGAGATTTTTAGAAGCCGAACTGGCGCCTTGGTGGATAGTGGAGCCACTCGTAGCTATATCAGTAGGAAGGCGCTGCAGAAGCTGAAGTTGCAGTTAAAAGTCCAAAGATTAGCAGACCCCATAGTAAGTATCCTCGCGGACAATCGCACCATGTGAGTAGAGGAGTACGTAGAGGGAGTCCATGCGTATTTCCGCCTAGAAAAGGATGGGAAGGTGGAGAAAGTTCTCCATTCCCTGACTCTCCTCGTAGAGGATAGCCTCCCATTTGACATAGTCCTAGGTATGGACTGGGGAGAGGCAGCAGGGGCCACGCTCCACTTGAGAGAGCACGAGTGTAGGCTCCCTAGTCCATCAGGCGGTGTCAAGACTGCCCGTTTGTTCCATGTCTCGAGAGTAGATAACTCCCTGGCGCATTGCTGCCTTAGCGCTCCTGCGTTCGCAAGATTAGTGAAAAAGAAGCAGCTAGAGGAACAGGTTTTTGTAGCCTATGTTAGGCCAGTCACTGAGCCTAAGGAAAAGAACCCTATAGAGCCTGCTATTGCCAAGCTGCTGGAAGAATTCACTAACTTAGCGAAGCCGCCGATAGGAGTAGTACCGCGGCCGATCCAACATCGTATTGAGATTGAGCCTGGCAGTAGGACCCCCAAGGAAGAAGTGTATAGGATGTCCCCGCGGGAGTTGGAGGAGCTGCACAAACAGTTAGATGATCTCCTAGAGAAGGGTTGGATTAGGCCCAGTTCGTCTTCATTTGGAGCACCTATTCTGTTTGTCCCCAAGAAGGAGGGAGAGCTTAGATTGTGTATAGACTATAGGGGTCTGAACGCTGTCACAGTTGACAATGTTGAGCCACTGCCCAGGATAGACGATCTTTTGGATCGGGTGCAGGGGTGCAGATATTTTTCAAAGATAGATTTGAAGTCCGGACATCATCAGATAGAGGTTCATCCTGATGATCAGTACAAGACAGCGTTCCAGACTAGATACGGGCACTACGAGTTCATAGTGATGCCCTTTGGACTAACCAACGCGCCAGCGACTTTCCAGCGATGTATGAATGATTTATTTAGGTCGTGGTTAGATAGGTTTGTTGCAGTTTACTTGGATGATATCCTACTGTTTAGCAAGACCCTCCAAGAGCATCAGGGTCATCTCAGGCAGGTCTTGGAGAAACTGAGAGAAGCTAACTTCAAGATCAACCAAAGAAGTGCGAATGGGCAAAGACCCAAGTTTTGTATTTAGGCCACGTCTTAGATGGAGACGGCATCAAACCAGAGGATAGTAAGATTGCAGCGATCAGGGATTGGCCTACGCCGCGCACGTTAACAGAGTTGCGGTCATTCTTCGGCCTAGCGAACTATTATCGGAAGTTCGTAAGGAACTTCTCCACTATCGTTGTGCCCCTTCGCAGATTGCTAAGGAAAGAAACCATCTGGAAGTGGGATAAGGACTGCACGTCTGCCATGAAGAAGTTGAAACAGGCATTGATAGAGTACCCAGTCCTCAAGGTGGTCGATCCGTCCTTACCCTTTGTCGTCACTACAGACGCCAGTCAGTACGGCATAGGTGTTGTTCTGCAGCAAGACGATGGCCATGGTTATAGACCCGTAGAGTTCATGTCTGCCAGGATGCCTTCAGAGAAGATAGCAACATCTACCTACAAGAGGGAACTCTACGCTCTCAGGCAAGCGTTAGACCATTGGAAGCACTACTTGCTTGGGAGGCACTTCAAAGTCTATTCCGACCACGAGACATTAAGATGGTTAAAGACGCAGGCCAAGACGACATCTAAGCTTACTAGGTGGGCCGCAAAAATAGACCAGTATGATTTTGAGCTCAAGCCAGTTAAGGGGAAATATAATGTAGTTGCGGACGCTCTGAGTAGGACGGCTGACTACTTTGGGGCGATAGTTCACTATCTGGACATAGGGAGAGACCTGCGGGAAAGGGTTAAAGAGGCATATGCGAAGGATCCTATCTATAGTGACCTCCTCAAGAGAGTAAAGGAGGCCCCAGAGACCGAGCCCAATTACCGCACTACTGACGGACTGTTATTTGAGAAGACTGACGTAGTTGACCGTCTGTGCATTCCGAATAGTGAGGAGATCCGTAGTCTGATCTTAGGAGAATGTCACGACACAGAGGGTCATTTTGGTTGGCAAAAGACTCTAGCCAATCTATTGCACGCGTACACCTGGCCAGGAATGAAGAATGACTACAAAGAGTATGTCCGCAGTTGTAAAGTTTGCCAGCGGAATAAGACTACTACGCGTGCCCCACTAGGTCTTCTCAGACCCTTGCCTATTCCCGATCAGCCAAGAGATTCGGTGTCCATCGACTTCATGGACGCTGGCGTCAAGAGTAGGCATGGCAAGAGCCAAGTCATGGTGATAGTCAATAGGTTTAGCAAGTATGCTGTTTTTATACCTTTGCCTTCAAAGGCACGGACCGAGCTAGTGATCCGTAAATTCTTTGATCATTGGGTCGGTGAGCACGGGGTCCCATTATCCATAGTCAGTGATAGAGACACCCGGTTCACGAGTCAAAACTGGCAGGAGTTGATGAGAGTCTATGGCTCTAAGTTGCTAATGTCGTCTGGCCGTCATCCAGAGACCAACAGTCAGACTGAACAGACGAATAAGGTCCTGCAGCAAGTTTTGAGGATGTACATTAGACCAAATCAAGTTGACTGGGACGAGATGCTCCCCAAGGTAGCCAGTGCCTACAACAATAGTGTGCATTTGTCTACATGCCGCAGTCCCAACGAACTGCACAAGTCCTTTAGACCGCGCAGACCGTTTGGAGGACTTAACCGGGATCAGATTCATAGGCTACCGCCCGGTACTAGAGAGTTCGCTATACAGCACGAGAAGGAATTAGCTACTGTTGTGGAGAACCTCAGGAAGGCCCAGCATAGAATGATAGAACAAGCCAACAAACATCGTCGCCCCTCACAGTTCCAAGTAGGCGACTTAGTCTGGGTCAAGGCTAAAGAGTTTGCTCCTGAGGAGAACATCTCGCAAAAGTTACTGCCTGCGTACAGAGGACCGTGGCCCGTTCTAGAAGTCAAGGGCGGAGAAGATGGGCCGTCCTACACCATCGAGATTCCAGTACACCTCCACACCACCCAGTTTTCCATGCGTCAAAGTTGTTGCCATGCACAGTAAGTGACCAGTTTCCATCTAGACGATCCATGATCCCTCCAGACATGGATGGAAGGTACGACATTGACGGCATTGTAGGTGAAGATGTGTTTAGAACAGGAGGTAGAGGTCGTCCTCAAAAACAGTAGGTCAGATTTGCATATCAGGAACCAGAAGACGACCGGTGGTTAACCAGAACTGAACTTCTAGAAACAGCTCCCGACATAGTCCGAGCCTACGAGAGGGATAGAAAAGGTAAAGGTCCTGCCTTGGACTGAAGCATTCTCGGAGGACCTCGAATTTAGGCCGGCGGGAGTGAAACGGTATTCAACAGTTCGCAGTAGCTGATGCAGATCCCAGGGCTCGATCCCGCGACCTGTGTATTTGTAACAGCTGATAGGTCGTCATAGGGTCCGTAGGTAGCATGGGTTTGATCTGTAGACCTGTCGGTTAGGAGTCTTAGTCAGGTTTAGAGGTCGTAGCCACAGCTTTTCCGAAAGGTCAAGGTCGTAGCTAGTCCAGTCCTGAAGAGTCAAGGTCGTAGCTGCGACAGGACCGAAAAGGCCAAGTCCACGGCCTTCTAGAAGGTCCCGGTGGTGGCCTTTCGAGGTTRCCCACRTTTAGGTAGAGGCAAGTGGGCAAGTGGTGGAAGTCCACCATGCAGAGTCAGCAGTCCCAGTCTAGTCAGTCCAGTCCAGTCAAGCAAGTACCGCCTGGGACTGTGTGCACCGTGGGCCAGGGAAAAAGGGCAGACCGACGAGTCACAGAAGTATAAATCAAGAGGCCGCGCACAGCCATTCATTCATTCCTGTGGAAGCCATGCGGAAGCGCTGCCTCAGCGGCTTGTGCAAGGAGGTCTGCAGCAGCCCGAATTCGAAGTGGGCAAGAAGGGTTAGCATAGCGATAGGTTAGTGGCGGCCATAGCCGCCATATGTAGAAGAGTGCAGAGAGGGTGTGTCAGTGTCCAGAGTGTCGCATGTGGGATATCCAGGGTGATCCGGTGTGTGTGAACAGTGAGTTGTTGGGCGCTGAGTCGCCATCGCCAGTGGGAGTGAACTCTTATCTGGACGCCATATCTCTGAGTTCTGTGTGGGCGCATGTCGCCAGTTGCTGCGATGCTGTTTACATGCATGAAAAGTGTGAATGAGACGAGTCTGATTGCAGTTGTTTGGTTTTGGTCACCTTCGGGGGTTTGGAGGGTATAAATGGGGGCTTAAAGGGATTTAAGGGGGTTCAAAACGGGTGCACCATTTTATTTTATTTTTTCATTTTCTAATTTCAACTTAACAAGGAATTGCGAATTGACCCTCGGCCAAAAGTTGTTTGATTTTGGTCACCTCCGGGGGTTTGGAGGGTATAAATGGGGGCTTAAAGGGATTTAAGGGGGTTCAAAACGAGTGCACCATTTTTATTTTTATTTTCATTTTCTAATTTCAACTTAACAAGGAATGCGAATTGACCCTCGGCCAAAAGTTGTTTGACATGAAATTCTGCATATCATTTGCTTTTCCCAGAATTCCACAAATTGCTCTAATTTTTTTTATTCTGTCCTGCGGCTACACAGAGCCTTGCCGAGACCTGGCCCGGCCAGGTCACCCCGCCTGCCTCTGATGGCCCAGCTGGTAACCTAGCATTTTTTCCTCGCAATTTACAGACTCCAAGTTCCATTAAGCGTACAAAGAGACCCAACCAAGCAGATAAGCCAAGCAGATATTGCTGATGAAAAAGCAGAGTGGGAAGACCTGGCATATCTCTCTTTAACGCAGAAGAAAAGTCACACAGATTGTTTGGCATATCTTTCGACGCAGTACTCTAAATAATTCCCCAAAGGTTCCAACAGAAGACCGAACTTAAGAATTTGGAGTAATTCTGGCAAACGTCCCTTTCACACTGAACACATCACTATACTCAGACCAGGAGTGTTGCTGCATCTGACTGTATTCATGAACTCGCTATTAGCTTTCATTCGTTTACACCTTTTTTTACGATAAAGAGAATCTCCTATGGGACGCATGCAGGATAGGCCTGTGCCTATGTTTGACCTGAGTTATGCCTGCCTATGGGGCCCTAACAGTAGGATTGGCTTTGGGGCCTTTTGGTGCATTTGGTGGCGATTTCCCTCGCATTTTTTTTCCGTTCTCCCTTTCTGTTTTTCCTTCGGCTTGCAATGTTCACATTCTTGGTCAGTTACAAGTGGCACACCCAACCACACACCATCGAGCCACTTTGCCTCACCTTGCAAGGCTTGATTCGAGTCTTTGTGGAAGTCCTCCTTCTCCATCATGTGCTGGTAAGGCTGCAAGAACAATGTGTACACAATGGCAAAGGCAGAAGCTAAAAATATAAGTATTAATTTACTATTTACTATTTAGTATTCAAATAAAAATAGAAAGCGGAAAAAAAAAAAAAGTGTGAAAAGAAGGKGGCAGTGTTTCTATTTGCTGAACAAAAAGATGTGCACACTGTTGACAAGCACACTCTGCACTGACGAGTTCACTCCCGTGACATGTCAGATCGAGAAGTGGCGGATGTCAGGGTGTGAACTTGGACATACAGAGTGGGGAAAAGCAATTCTCACAGCCGCATCAACAAAAGGAGCTAAGCAAGAAAGAAAGAAAGAAGAAAAAAGAAAAGGGGGATTTTCTGGTTTTCTTGTAAAGGATGGGCCAAGAGGGGAAGAGTAGGAATACAGGGGGGAGAAGAGGGGACGACCAGGAGTTCGTATTGGGCCCAAATTTTTAAGATATGGGCAGAAATATTTCCGGCAAGAGTAAGACAACCGAGGACGAAGGAGGAAGTGCTTAGGCAACCGCTATTTTGCAAGCCATGGTCGAAGGACTCCCAAGGAAAACCCAGGACACTAACAGCAAGGGATGCCCAAGTGGGGAAATTGGTTGGAGCATGGAGTATGGCAAGTGAAACATGTATGGTCAGAAACCAATGGCAGATGGAAAACAGGTAGAGAACTGAGGGAAGAAATGAAGGGGTGTACAGACTAATCGAAAATCTGAACGACATGCTAATCTCCATTCCGGAGTAGTGGACGCGGATGTTGAGGGGTCCATGCAAATGGGGATGGGGTGACTGGGCAACTCGGTGTCATAGTGAGGAACCACAGCAAGCCTTTCGCATTGGTCAGAAGGTAGGACCAGCTAAACAGTGGTTCGAAGCAGATATGTATACAATCTTGACCCCAGGCACCACAGTGAGTCAACTGGATAAGCACTCGAGGGTGCCGATCACCATCAAGCAAGATCTTTTGAGAAAAGTCCGAGTTATAGAGAACGAGGAGTTCACAATATATGCTCCAACAATCAGCATTCAGAATCTAGAGATTGATCCAGTAGAATGGGCGTGGAATATCAGGGGAAACTCGTCACGAGTAGTCAAGAGAATTAACATACGTCAGTATACGACTAAAGGGTCAAACCAGATGGATAGGCCTTTGGCGATAAGATGGGAGAAGAGGGTGGGCATACCAAGAGAACAGGTAGGCAAACTACCATGGTCAATCCTACACAGCATCAGGTTGAGTAAGATCCGGAGTATGCAGTGGCTCATATTCCAGTGGCACTCCCAGTCAACGCCTGGTTATATGAAAAAAGGAGTAGGCAGCATAGGGATGAGACAGAACAAGACTGCACCGTGTGCACTGACGGAGTGCCCGAAACGCTGCTGCATTGCTTACTTCGATGCCCGGAACCAGAGTACATCTGGGCAATAGCTGGTATACTTTGGGAGCGTACTACGGAGGTTCTCTTTCCAAGAAACAGAAGGCTTTTGCTCATAGGAAGGGAAGTACCCAAGGGATGGCGGGCAAGTGAGAAATGCATCTTCCAGCGATTGAGACAGTACGCACTATGGACTATCTGGAAGGAGATATCAACTGGTGGTAGGTAAAAATTTGTTGACCAGAATGGAAGCCAGAACAACACTCTACAATCTATTGGAAACAGACATTAGGGCTCAATGGCAGAGGACCAAAATGCAAGCATCAGTCAACCCTGAAAGGGCGAAGGATATCTCTATACATACTAAAGGATGGAGAGGGCCCGGCGACATGCCCCGTCGCGGGCCCAGCGAATTTCTCGGGAGGCGGGCGGCACTGGGAGGAGGCCGGAAACGGGTAGTGGGACCGCAAATTTCGAGGGGGGTCCAGACCTCAGCAGAGGAGAGGCCCACGAAATTGCTGGCGCGCCAGGCCTCAGCGGAGGAGAGGTCCACGAAATTGCTGGCGCGCAGGCGGGCTATAGGTAGCGGGGTCCAGGCCTCAGCGGAGGAGAGGCCCACGAAATTGGCAGCGCACAGGCGGCCGATAGCGGATGGCAGAGGTCCCGGGTAGGCCGGCGCGACGGAATTGGCCGTGGCTGGCGTGAAGGGGGACGCAAGGAATGGCTGGGCGGCGCGGGCGCAAAAACTGAAGCGGGCAGGGCGGCATGAGGCCGGCGCGCCCCCGCGTCGGCAGGAGGTAGGGGGAGGCAGGAGGTAGCGCGAAGGAGGGGAGGGTGGGAGTACGACGGGTGGGAGTACGATGACCGAATCGTGCGCAGTAGGAACGACGAGAGAAAGAGAGAGAGAGAGAGAGAGAGAGAGAGAGAGAGAGAGAGAGAGAGAGAGAGAGTAGTTGGATCGATGTGAGAGAGAGAGAGAGAGTACTTGGATCGATTCGTTGGCCATATTCAACCAGGTACTGTATATTTCCATGTTCTAGCCGAAGATTCAACCAGGTAGTGTATGTTTCCATGTTCTAGCCGAAGATTCATTGGATGTTGCTCATCCTATCGATGGAAGTAGCATGGCGCGAGCCGCGAGGTCGGACAGTTATCGTCTCTCTCTCTCTC